AAGGGTCTCCAACAGCACAATTGGAGCCAGGGATCCACACTCCTACCCACCAGACTCAGTCTATACTGTTATCTGCTTTTCTGCTCACAGGTCCAGGGGCCATGCCCTGCCCACAGGTCTCAGTCCACACCCAGCTAGCCTCTGCTTGCCAGATCAGTTGGAGTCAGGGGACCATGCCCCTGCCTGCCAATCTCAGTCTACTGCCTGGCAAGTCTCTGTTTACAGGCTCTGTTAGAGTCAGGGTCCCACACTCTGCCCATAAGTCTCTGTCCTCACCCAGTAAGTCTCTGATCACCAGCCCTGCTGGAGACAGAGGACCTCGCTATAGCCTCAGGTCTTGGTTCACACCCAGTAAGCCATTGCCCAAGGGTTCTCTTGAAATCAGGGGATCAAGCCCTTGCTCTCAGGTCTCAGTCCATGTCTAACAAGCCTCTGCTTGCAGGCCCAGCAGGGGCTGGGGACCAGCCCTGTCTGCCAAACTCAGTCCACATGAAGCAACCGCCTTCCTGCTGTGGGTACCGTCAGAGCTGGGAGTTCTGCACTCCGTCCCGCCAGATAGCCCTAACCAAGGGTCAACACCACCACTGGCTGGGCATAGTCCTAACCAGAGGACTGCTTCTCCTCCCACCTAGTGTCCCTTTCTTCTCACACCCTCTTTCTTCCCTGTTAGTCACAGATTCCATCCTGATGGTTGACGGTCTACACTATGCTTAGATCTCTCAGGACAAGACCAAACACTTTGTGCTCTGCAGGGGGCATAACTTCAGATCACCATTCGAGGGGGAAAGGGTGGACTGGGTAGGAGTTGTGGGGGGAAATATCTGTTCAATTTTATGCCTGGCGGGGTGGTGTCTAGGTTCATAAGTGGGACCTCCCTGGAGAAAGAGACCTGGAGTTTAGCAGCTCTCTCCAGCGAGGTAAAATGAGAGTTCTTTTGTTCCCTGCTTGTTCACAGATAGCCTGCAGCAGGCCTCCTACTTGGGGGAAGAGTCTCCCGTCCTCTCATCGGTAGGCTTTGTACCTATAATTTGTTTTCTTGAAGGCTCTTCCTTGGAGTTACAGCTTCCCGAACTTTCTTGTCTCCGGTCTCTACCTTTGGCTTTGTAGAGTCCGATTCTGTGCAGTTCTTCTTCCTCTGCTCAGGAGCCACTGCTGAGGGTTGCTACCAGTCGGCCATCTTCCCAGAATCTCCAAGCGCATTCTATTTTTATTTATTTATTTTTAGGTTTCCCATCTTTTAAAAGATGTTATAGTCATTTTTCTAAACCACTAAAAAGAATATTTACATTAAAGAAAAGGACTGTTTCTTTCAGTGAAAAGGTTTATACCTCTGTTTATGTTTAAAATACTTTCCTTAAACATATACTGTCCATTTAAAATAAATCAGTTAAGGCTGCGTGTGGTAACTCAAACCTGTAAACAAGCACTCTGAGAGACCAAGGCAGGACGATTACTTGAGCTCAGGAGTTCAGGACCAGCCTGAGCAAGACTGATCCCCATCTCTACTAAAAATAGAAAAGATTAGCCAGGCCTGGGGGCTGCCTATAGTCTCAGCTACTAGGGAGGCTGAGGCAGGAGGATTGCTTGAGCCTAGGACTTTGCAGCTGCTGTTAGCAAGGATGACACACTCGGGGTGTGATTCTACACTCTAGGGGGTGATAGAGTGAGACTCTGTCTCAAAACAAGTTAGTAAATACAAAATGAAATAAATCAGTTAAGATGGAGAAATTCTGATTCATACATCGTTGCCCCAAAATTAAATATTTGAAGAGATATGACCTATTTTACTTCTGGAATCAAATGTTTTTCATTTTTGTGTTGCTGAAGTGTAATTTTACTAAAATAGTGAATTTCAGACTTCTGAGTACCTTCCCTGTGCCAGGCAGGGTACTGGAAGGATGAGGGCCATTGGTGGGCCCCATGAGTCAGTGCTCTGGTGCAGGCACAGGGGAAGAAAGAATGAAAGTCTTTCTTGTCTGGGGGGTCTGGGAGGCTTAGCAATGCAGGAAAGACTGTCTCCTCATTGTAGTTGCCCCTCATTTTCTAGTGGACTCTTATGAAATGATTACTCTCCCCTGAGAGATAGCTTCTACATAATTCAAGATCGTCTTGGATTGCTCTCATCAGAGAAGAAAAGCTGCATGAATTATTTACAGAGCACTAGGTTATTTCCTTTTATGAGGTCCAACTTTGTTTTTGTCACTGCAAACTGAGATTCTGTTTATCTATGAGTAGTTTTCCCTTGGGCATGAAAAATATGACTCTTAAAATATGAATGAGGTTTTTTGTTTGAGTCCGTGTTAACTAAAACATGCAAAATCAACTATGTTTTCCATTAGATCCCTTTCAGCTCCCCACAAAAGCAGAACCAACAAAAGAAGGAGCAGTTCAACCAGCACCCACCAGGAAGCCTACTGTGATTCGAATTCCAGCCAAACCAGGAAAATGTAAGCGCTTCCGTGTCTTCTTTATTTGCTTCCTAAGAGCCTGAAAGAAATATATACTGCTTATCAATGCCTCCTTTTGAAATTCGTACAATCTGTCAATTATTACTCATAGTCAAGGTCACTTGAAAACAAATTGTTTTTCCATCTTTCTTTGGAGAATTACTATAATAAATCTGAATCTTAGTCTGAAAGAATAGAGGGAGACTAGGAAACTCAGAACAATTGTAGTATCCCATGTTAGTGCCTCTGGTAAAGATTTTGTGGCAAAGTAATCAAACTAATAGCAAATAAAAGTGTATTATGTCTATCCAGGAGTACGTTATTTAAGTCAACATCATCTTAGTGTAGCTGTGTGTGAATTGTGTAAAGAGCAGTAACTAAAAATGTCGGACAATGTACAAAAGTTGTTTTTAAACTAGTGTAACCTTACATTTTAATTTACTTCCTTGATTTTTTGCTTACTTGATTTTTTTAATGGTACAATGAATGAAATTCTATATGAGCTTTAATAAGTACTTCAAAAGGAAATCTGATGTTTATTGTAAGGAAGAACTCAAATGGGCCCAGAACTATTTATTTAAATCCCCAGATTATTAAAATGTGTGAGCAAAAGTGTGTGTGCGTGCGTGTGTGTGTGCACGTGTGTGTGTGTGTGCACGCACACATGGACACACAGTGGGTTCCAGAGCATTGCTTGGAGTGATCCCGCAGCTTTCTCCCTGGGCCTCTAATTTCATGTATTCCTGCAATGCCTAGCAGCCGTGGCCCAGATGTGTGCTTGCTTTTGTCGAACAAAAGATCTACCCACTCCATTCGTCCTAACAGCAGAGCAAGTGTCTCGTTTTTTCACATAGAGCTCTCAGGACTCTTCTACAGGTATACCCATTATTTTAGGCAGTTGGTTTTTCTATGAAGTACTATCCAAGAGGATGAGATTGGTTTTAGTCTTTGCTTGATGGTTTTGTTAGGGCTCTCAGCCAAGTAGTGAGAAAGTTGGATTGAATTGCTGTGAAGAGGAGGAGAAAAGGTCAAGAGTACCAAATTCTGGTGGGTTCTAATTTCTTAGGAGATCATACTTAGTTTTTTTGTTTTTTTTTTAACTTTATTTTTGTTTTCGTATGTTTTTTTCCTTTTCTTTTTTTCTTGATGGTTTTTATTTTAGTGTTAGAATAGGTGCTATATTTCTTTTGATGGTGTTCTATAGCCTATAGATCAGTAAAATCATAGCTCATTGGGTTGCTTGCCTGGTTGCTACTAGCTAAATCTATTCTGTGTTTTAACAGGCACAGTGAGATATAATGACAGATATTGCCAGAGCTCATGTGGATTTTAAGTAATGCAACTTTTATACAAATTTGCTAAAACAAATGTTTAAATTTATTCTGTTGTCCGTGTTCCATAGATCGCCTCTAAGTTTGATGATTCACTAGGAGGACTCAACCTATAGTTAACGTTCATGGCTATTATTTATTACAAAAGTAGAATATGTGAGGCAAAAACAGCAAAGGGAAAAAGTCAAATAGGGTGAAGTCTGGAGGAAATAGGGTGAAAATTTCCAAGTCTTCTGCTAGGACAGTCACACAGAATGTACTTGATTCTTCCAGCAATAAGTTGTGATAACATATGCAAAACGTGAGCTGGGGAAGCTCATTAGAGACTCCAAGCCCAGAGTTTTTACTGGGGGTTGGCCACATAGGCAGTCCCAGAATTTTTAATATGTACCAAAATTCCAGATTCCCAGAAGGAAAGCAGGTGTTCAGCATAAACTATATTCTTGTATTTTATCAATTCGGGGAAAGGTGGGAACCATCCCAAAGTCCAAGTTCTCAGATGTCAGCCAAGGACCAATCTTATAAACATGCTTTTCTAAGGATATGTAGTTTATTTCAGGCCTGCTATGTTTATTTTTTATGCCTACCTGTAAACTGGATTAGTAACTCTGAAATCCTGAAAAGCATATGCTGAGGAAAGATCTTTATTTTCCTGAAAAACCTCTAGGAACTACTATTTGGACCCTACTGCCAGGTGGAAGAGATTTGAAATGACAAAATGATAAATGACAAAATAACTCTAGAGAGTTATTTCTATTTTTACATATATATATATATATATATATATTCTTATAGTTTACCAATTTGTATATTTCTATGGGAGGCCAGAAATCCACTGTGGGAGGCCAGGATTGCTTGAGGTCAGCAGTTCAAGACCAGCCTGAACAAGATCAAGACCCCATCTCTACCAAAAATAGAAAAAATTAGCTGGGCATGGTACCTCTTGCCTGTAGTCCCAGCTACCTAAGTGGCTGAGGCAGGAGGATTGCTTGAGCCCAGGAGTTTAAGGTTGCTGTGGGCTATGATGATGTCACTGCATTCTACCTGCACTGCACTCTACAGAGCAAAACTCTGTCTCAAAAAAAACAAAGAAAAGATTCCCTGGAATTTTATTATTACAGTTATTAAGCAATGCATATATGTGGTGGAGGAAAAAGAATGAGATGTTTGGTATCTGAAGAACTTGGAATGGGCAAGGGAAGAAGAGATTAGCTTTGTGGTACAAAAATCCTTGATCTTGGCTCGGCGCCTGTGGCTCAAGTGGCTAAGGCACCAGCCACATACACCCAAGGTGGCAGGTTCGAATCCAGCCTGGGCCCGCCAAACAATGATGGCTGCAACCAAAAAATAGCCGGGCGTTGTGGCGGGCACCTGTGGTCCCAGCTACTTGAGAGGCTGAAGCAGGAGACTCGCT